CTTCTTCTGTCGCTGGGATGGAGCCCTGATCTCTATTGGCTTGAGCAAATAAATTTATTTTTTTTTGCGGTCTCTGAGCTGGGAATTCTGCCTGGTTGGGTTTGAAAACCCTCCTTTATAGCAGCTCCTGCTCTGTCTGAGAAAGCGGTGCGGTCTTGCAGAGAGACTTTGGCATTGCGGATTCTCCCGGAGATCAAACGGACGAAAGAGCAAAAACATCAGGATCAGGAGAGATGATCGGCATTGCACAGGGGGCGAGGGCTGAGGAGAGCAGAGTTCAGGTGGGGAAGGGTGAACCGGGATAGACAGACTCCTGTCACAGCTCTGATGGGCTCTGTATCCTTAAGCAGACTGCTGGGCTGGGGTTCGAGGGACACTGTGCCACTGAGTGGCTGTGGTGTAGGGAGATATCACTCACCTCTCATGTCATGTTCACAGCACAGCTTAGGGTTAGTCAAGCCAACTAAAATCCATTAGGATCTCTGTTTCTGTATAAACCTTTATCTTGCTTAATATTGATTGATACTGACTCTGCTTTGCTGTGGTATTCCATGGTCTAGTAAACCACACAGTAAACCTTCTTACCAATTATTCTAACCAATAGTCCATGTTATTTAACTCGGTATCTAAACATTGTCGAAATGCTGCAGGCAGATAATGATTTTGCAATGTAAAGTTTAAAGCATTTGGAAATCCTTTAGGAATTCTGCAGAGGCTGTCGGTGAAGGGCACTGCAGGAGAACAGGAGTAGTGGTCGTGACCCTGAGGCCAGTCTGCATGGCCGGAACAGCCCCACGACACATCTTCTCACTTCTTCCCTCAGCCTGTTCCCATGAGCTCGTTCATGGCTGCTGGGCTCCTTCTGAACCCTGCCGGGCCTGGGGGGATGCAGACAGCAGAGCTCGAGCTCTGAGGTCCGAGCTGGGACAGAGCCCCTAGGAATGGGGGATCCTGGCCCATCAGGGTGCAGAATCGATGGTCAGTGGTGCCTCACACCAGTTCAGTTTATTCTCACATGCACAAGTCCAATGAATTGCTGCTTATTTGCAGTATTGCTCCCATACAAAGACATGAAAGGAATCAAAATCACAAACCAGAGCGGGAGTTGAGCGAGTTCAGCAAAGACACGTGATCAGGGAGCTGCATGACCGCGAGCATGCTGCCCACTTCGCAGTGAGGGTCTGTCTTCCGACAGCCACGACTGGTTAGTGAGTAACAGATCTGTTTTCAGGATTTTGTTGTCTCCACATCTCCTGCAGGCTCGGAGGTTGGTCTCCCATTGCACAGCAGTTTGATCGGTTTCGTGTTGCTGTGAGGGCTCATAGACTTGCTGGTGTCAGCTGAGCATTTCAGGTTATACTGTTTTGAGGAGATATTGCCCTGAGGGACGCATACGGTTATAAAATGATTTTTGGTCATATGTTTACATATTTGGTCCCCTGCTTCAAGCGTGTGATTTGTACACAAAAACCTGCAGCTTGTAAGCTTGTAAGAATTGAAACGGATCCCATTTCTACAAAGTGGGGCAGCTTGTCCCCTCTGGGAGCTGAGCGTGGAATGAAAGAATGAGATCTGTGCCCACCTTGCCCTCTGGTTGTCTGATTCACAGGGAGGAATTGATTTTGTGAAACCGAGAGATAATAACTGTTACAAACAAGAGGTAGACATTTAGTCCGTTTAACCTATTATGTAATTAGTAGCTAATTGGTTCTCATCCAGCCATTTCTTAAAGGAAGCCAGGGTATCGGCTTCAACAGCATGGCTGGGTAGCTTGTTCCACGCTCCTACCCCCCTTCTCATGAAGACGTCCCTCCTTCCAGAGGGGAGGTCCGCAGGTCAGGGTCAAGGGATGGCACTGCATCTTCCTTCTTTCACATTCGTTGGCCTGACTCTGTGTTTTGCAACATTTTCATTGTTTTACTCCCATTACTTTCAGATGCTGTTAATCCCTTTGCATTGTTTTAATGTATAAAAACGCCTGCCGGGGGAAAAAAAAGGCCTCTGAGCACAAAAGACTTGGAGAGGCTGATCCCTCAGTCAGTGCAGTATGAAAAGTATCCAGCTGGGTGTTTTGTGCTTCAGGCCTCCTTCATTATGAAACAGGTGTGAAACCCAGTATTTCGCTCCACACCCGATACCTTACTGGCACACCCTTGTGCCTCCAGTTGCTCACTGAAAAAACATCCAGAGTGATGCCAGCTGAATCCAGTCCAGAATCCTGCAACCCAGTGTGCGACAGTTCTCCCCGTCTTCAGAAGCAACAGTTTCCTGCTTCTTTCTGCCCTCACCTGTCAGCGGCCTTGGTGGGCACAGCTGAGACCTGCTGAGGGAGTGTGCACCCAGCTGTGCTCTTCAGAGTCCTTCATGGCGCCTGGGCGCGCAGAAGGTACCAGCGCAGAAAATGAATGGCTGGCCTTAATTCACAGACTTAATGAAGCTGCATTTGTCGAGGGCATTTACTATAAATGTTTCAGGGCTGCTATTTTTAGAATGAGACCGCATGGAGCAGACGTGCAGTCAGCGCTAAGATCCACAGCGTGTCGCAGGCGGGGCAGGGCTGTGAGAGGCACGCTTGGCCTCCCCGAAACCCCGCTGGCGGGATCTGCTGGGTTTCACAGTGATCTGGCGGGGCTTTGCTGTACTTCGCGGTATTTTTATAAAGGCTGTTGGTTTCTGAGCTCTGAACATGAAGCAGCTCTGGAGAGGTGGTGAGAGTGATGTCTTGAGGAGGCTGGGGGTTTGCTGCTTCATCGCCCCGTGAATCACCCAGGGCCGCCGGTTTGTTCTCATGCCTTTTGAAAGAGCGAGAAGCAACTTCAGAGCTCAGCAGGCGCGAGATCTCTGCTGTAAATAATTCACAGCGCATGAGCTGAAAAATCTTTTTGTTGTTGTTGTTGTTGTGCTCTTCAAATTTAGTGGAGGAACGGAAAGGCGAAGGGGGTTCTCCTGTCCACATGCCCTGTGGTGGGTCCGGGGGTGGGGGAGGGGGTGCAGCCTGACCCCTCTCTGGGTGGTTGTTCACGCCGGACTCGCAGGAGAATACTAAACAGGCTTCCCAAGCCCCGCCTCCTGTCTGCCGTCCCATCTCCACTTTTATTCCTCTCCCCCCCCCCCCCCCCCCGTTGTGAAACTCATCCAGAGCGTTTCCCTCACGGCAGCGACCTCGTCCCGCCCTGGGGCAGCTGCGCCCGTGCCTCTGGGCTGAAGAAGCAGTGCCGTCACAGGGTCAGAAAGCATCTGCACTGCTAGCCAAGGAGCAGGACGCTCTGTCGGTCTGAGAACAGGACGGTACCCGAAGAGCCAGAGAGCAGGGAGAGTGGAGACTGTGGTGTGAGCACAAGCCGGCTCTCGGCTCAGTGTGTCTGCGGCCCCTGGCAGTGAGTGGCCTCTCTCTGAGAGTGAGAGCAGCCCTGACATGAGTCCTGTGGAAATGACACGGAGGAATCTGGTCTTCTTTCTCCACTGTTGCAGCACAAAATAAGCTGAACCAGCCGGAGACGCAGGTTGCATGTATTACATGATGCTCCTCCCTCTTCTACAATAAATCTTTACTCCCCTTGGAAGATGTTAAATATGTTAATTCTATTAATGCAATCATGTGACTCAAGACTTGTAAGGTGGGGTGGATGAACATTTCAGGGGAAATGTTCTTAAATTCTGCTCAAGGTCAATCTTTTGAGACAGATCTGTCTTTGTGCTGATGCAAGCTGTTTCTTAGGAACTTGCTCAGATGCTGAAACAGTACCTGACCTGTTCTGTCAGGTGTTCTGAACTCTCTGCTTTCAAGAAGCAGTTTCGGTATCTTGCTTGGGCTTGAGCTGTGCCTGTCTGTCATCACTGTGTCTCGGCAATCCAAGCCCAGGCTGGATAATGCCCCAGTGAGCCATTATAATACTCTGTAAGTGCTGGATGTCCTACTCTACCTGTTTTCTTAATGTCACTGTGCTGCTCTGACCTGTTAGACGAGCTCAGTGCCATTACCCAGAACGCGGCTGTTTATATCCTGTGGATTTGACTCCATGGCTGATGCACAGATCCTCAAACAGCCTTGACAGGCCTGACTGCTGGTACTGTATGTGTGGTTTGCAGCGAATGGCTTGCAGAGGGTGTGTGTGGGGGGGAGGGGGGGTTAGTGTCGTATTTCAAAGCAGAAACCATGGACACCATGGTGCCTTTCACAGGGGGCGAGGTTTGTTCTTGACTGTCCACCGCAACAGGCTTGGACTTACAGAGATGCTGTGTAATTTTCTTTTGACTGTCATGTAATACAATGTGATGCCCTGCAATATGGATTTATATAGTACCGTTACATGGGAACTGATATTGTTCCTGTTCCTGTCTCGCTTTGTGTTCAGATGGGTGTTTGGTCTTTAGTCTGCTCTGGAATAATACCGAGGCAGCCGGCCTCCGTGTTTTTGGTGTGCTGTGGGATGCCGGAGTGAAAGCAGGGGAAAGTGCAGGGAGACACAGAGAGGTTGTGGTGGAAGTACAGTGATGCACGGAGACCCTTTAGGCTCCTCTGGGGGCCCCTGTTAGAGTTGTCCTGACATCGGGAACACCGGCTCAGCTCAGACCATCGCCCTGCCTGAACACTTGTGCCTCCTGCACACTGGCAGCTGGAGGTCAGTGCTCAAAGCAAGCTGCTGGCTGGAACTTCACATGTGTATAGTGTGCATCACTCCCTACTGCATCACTGGGCTGTACTAGTTGTCTGAACTGTATAATTGTGCTAATAGCTTGTTTGCAATGCATGTTGCAAATGGGGTTTGAAAGGTGTGGGGCAGCCTTTTATGTTCTGCACATTGTTCTATATTGCTTTATATTCTGCAATATACAGCATTAATGGAGTTTGAACACAGTGTCAATATTCTGGTGGACTATTAGTGATTACTTCTATCCGCACTGACCGAAGTCAGCTGTGTGTCCGGCGCCTGTGTGGTCAGTCTGCAGTCAGGAGGTCAGTGTCGGCGCAGCTGGAGAATTTCCGTTTCCCGTTCCAGCGTGCCGAGGAGGGGCTGGGCCAGCCCATCGTGGTGTGCCCACAGCCGTACCCTGACTGCGAACTCTTCCCTGATGAGGACGGCATGATGCTGGCGCAGCGCGATGCCCACGAGTCGGACATGGACAGCGCCATCGAGAGCACCCCCGGCTCCGAGCTCCTGGAAGGGGGGCGGCCCGAGGACAAGGAGGAGGGGCTGGGGGGGCTCTTCCTTGCCGCGGACAAGTGAGTGTCCCCCGTTTCCCTGCAGGCACGACACGGGAGCTTGCCCCCCCTTTTCCAACTTCCTTTAAGACTCGGATCATTTTCCAGCAGTTTTTTTAGAAAGAATAGACAAACAAGGTCTACTACCTGTTGAACCAATTTGCATATTTGCTGTGTTTTGCACATTTAAACACTGAACAGTCTGTTCCAAAAAAAACAGAGGGGCATTTTTTGTTTGGTCACTCTGGTTCAACCTCCCCTCTCTGCACAGGGAAGAGCTGTGCAAGAGCAGAGTGAAGAGGTCCCAGCTGTCTCCACTGCTGCGATGACAGTGCCTTCTCACTTGAAGGCCGAGGCTGTGTGGCCTCTTGCCCACCAGCTGGTTTGTGCAGGTTTCCCAGGCTGCCCTGGCGCTGTGCTTGCAGGTCGTGGGCACATCCAGGGGCAGAGCCAGCACAACCAGCGTCAGAGCTGGTCTGCCCTGGTCTCTCGCACGGACAGGCCTGCTGCCCGCCTGCGTCTCGCAGTCTCACACTGCTTGCTAGTCTTGGGCTCTGCTGGAGTGAAACTGCAGAGAGAACCCAACTGGGGATTTTCCCACAACAGGGAATGTGCAATTGAAACACTTGCTGAGTTTTTGTTTTGCTCTTGGTTTACTCTGTACTGTGTTGACGTATGGTCGAATAGATCTCAGCAGCCACACTAGTCCTCACCAAGAGCAGACAGATGTCTGTTCTAGCGTGAAGGTGCCCCTGGAGTAAGAAGTAAGTCTCTGGGTCTTCCTCCTGCTCCTCTGATAAAGGTGTGCAGCTCAGCTCAGGTGCTGTGGGGACTTTGCTCCGAGGTTAAAATTAAAAAACAGATACCGCCTCTACTCCATCTGGATGTCAGTTAACAGACGTGGCTCTTTCGGTTTCCTGGCAGTGTCTCCTGCTGTGCTTGGCGTGACCGAGCGGGTCACTGGGGGAGCAGGACTCAGGTGTGCCCATCTCTCTCCACAGGTCCGCTCAGCTCAACCCGTCTGTGACGTCGGACCTGTCGGCCCGCTCCTCCGCCTCCCTCATCAGCAACGAGGAGCAGTTCGAGGACTATGGGGAGGGGGAGGACGTAGACTACACTCCCAGCAGCCCCTGCCCGGACGACGAAACACGCACCAACGGCTACTCGGACCTGGGCTCGTCCGTCTCGTCGAGGTGAGCTTGCCACAAGGTGGACGGGCCTACAGTAGGTCTGTTTGAGTCTTAGTGAAATAATACTGCTCTTCCTCCAGGTGCTCAGGCTCTGTTCTCTGTGCTTCTTTAATTAGATGCAGTAGGTATCGCTGTGGGGCCACACTGTTCTGCCTGGTCACACGTGTTCTGTAGGGATGCTTCCGTGTGTGTGTGTGTGTGTGTGTGTGTGTGTGTGTGTGTGAGCGCTGTGTGGCTCTGGTAGGTATTAAAGACGGCAGTTCTGAAAGGAGCAACTTGCTGCATTTCCTTAGGGCTGTGGAAGCAGGGAAATATGCTGCAAACAGCGATGTAAAATAAAGGTTTACTCTCATACAGCATGCTAAAAGAAATGAGGAATACAATACTGAAGCACAGAGAAACCATGGTAAAAGTGTGGTAAAGCACAATTCAAACCGTGGGAAGCAGTGACAAGGTATATAAGCAAGGAGAGAGTAACCTGGAGAAATGCATACCTGCTGTGGTTAACCTCCATAGGAAACCTCAGGCCACAGTCCTCCACTCACAGTGCACTGTGGGCAAAATGTGAGTCAGCCCCCCCTGCCCCCCCCCTCCCCCGGCTCCATAATCTTGTTGCACTCTAATCCTGCCACTGCTCTCAATCCGAGCTGCATGCGGGAGGCTGCTCTGCTGTTCCAACCCTCCACTTTCAGCTTATTGTCGATGGCTGAGAATCGAATGGACGCCCTGCGGTGATACCATCCAGGCTTCACTGCCCCTGGCAGCGGTGCCAGGGTCTGCGCTGGCACAGCGCTGCGCAGGCAGGAAGTGAGGTCTCAGGCCTGGCGCCAAAGAGACATGCGCAGGTTTGAGGAATAACTCTGTCTGTGCAGGGTGTGTTTTACTCCTTAACAGTGTGTTCCCAGTACTTGCAGTGGAGTCTGTAGTTAAACCAGGCACCGGCTCAGGGTGTCGTGCTGTTAATGTAATATCCCTGCAGACGAAACCGGACCTGATCGCTTGAACATTCCTGCAGACTGAGGGGTGAGGCTGACCCGCTGTTGGCTGGCGAGACCTCTGCGTGATGGAGGAGTTTGCTCGCGGCAGATTAGCTCATTCCAGTACTCGTGTCGGTTTACATAAGGACGAGGGATGTCATTAAGACTTTGTAGCAAAACTTCCTCAATCCTCGGTGAGCAAGACGCGTCTTTCCTCTTCGTTCCTCACAGCGCTGGCCAGACGCCCCGCAAGGTGCGACACCTGTACAACAGCGAGCTGCTGGACATCTACTGCTCCCAGTGCTGCAAGAAGGTCAACCTGCTGAATGACCTGGAGGCCCGGCTCAAAAACCTGAAGGCCAACAGGTACAGCACGCCTGGCGCACCTGTGCCCACCTGGTGCCACACGGGGCCCCAGTTCTTTCTCAGTGGGGAATAGCGATGCTAGCTGTTGTAGTGGAGACCTGTACAGAGTACAGGGAGTTTTTTCCGCCACGGTGCAAGCAGGGTAACAGTGAGATGAGGTTACAGTTCTTTACAAGCCCACGAGTTCTCACAGGGCAGAAGTTAATCTCCTAAATCTTCGCTAACAGTGCTTGGATATTATCGTCTCAAAAGCACAGAGCATTAGATGAGATCGGAAGGAACAGTGTGCTTCAGGATACACCCTGGACAGGACGCCAGTCCATCACAGGGCAGATGGACACACACACACACACACACACACACACACACACACACACCAGGGCCAATTTTCCCAGAATCCAATCAACCTACCAGTATGTTTGTGGATTGAAATAAATAATTCACATACAGTACACCTCCACTGACGTACTGACATGTCTAGCCATTGTTTTGAAATCCGTCTCGTTTAATTGGGCGACAGAGTTGGGGTTAGTAATACGCAGGCTGAGCTGGTGTCCCAGTCCCAACACTTTGGACAGCTTCAATAAATTGATGGAGGGCTGAGAAATCCTGTCTCCCATCTCTCCGGCTCTGCATTGTGTTGGATGAGCTGCTGACCATGCAGTTTCCCTGCTAATCAGGTTTTCAGAGATGAGTCCCAGTGTTCAATTAAAGCGATCGGCCCTGACGGCTCCTGACAGCAGCCCGTTCTGGGAGGGGGGGGAGCAGGTGAGAGAAGAGCAGAGAGCGAGGGGAGGGAAGAGGACAGGGATGGGGGGGTGGGAGAGGAGGGAGGCAAAGAGGAATAGAGAGGATCTGAGGAGATCAGAAGAAGAGCAGAGACGAGTGAGAGAGCCTGATACACAGCGTCATGCAGAAGGGATTTGCTGGGGTGTCTGTTGCAACTGGAGAGAGCGTCCGCAGTACTGATGAAGGTGGCAGTTGGGGGATCTTCAGATACAAGATGGCCACCTTGTCTGGACTACATTCCCCAGAAACCTCTGGGAGAATGACCTGCCGCTCCCAGTCACCTGACCAGTAACTGCCAGTAAAGACAATTGGTCAGGTGAAAGTCTGAAAACCAGGAAGGGGAGACTGTTGATTTGCAATATGTAAGATATGTTCAGACGTAGACATGCCAGCAACAAGCTCACAGGTGATGGTGACCTCTAGCCTCTCTCGTGCCCTGTGTCAGTCAGCACCCCCTCTTTCTCTACCGTCACCCCACCGCTGGCGGGACTGAGCACTCTGAAGTCCAAGGGGCCTTTGAGCTCTGACAAAATGCTGACATCACAAACGCACAAAGGCAGCACCTTATAAGGACAAAATGCATTTGAATATTATATAATTCGTTATTGAATATTTTAAATGTTATTTACATGTGATATTTGATCAGGTGAAATACAGGGAAGTGTTTTTTCCTAGTTCCGTAGAATCTGGTTCTGCGGCGGTTTCTTTTGTTGCTGTGAGGGGAAAGTGCTCAGGCGTGGAGAGGAAGCCTCACCGCGTTCTTCTTGTTTTACAGCCCCAACAGGAAGATCTCCAGCACTGCTTTCGGCAGGTAGGTGGCTGGGCTGGTTGGTCTGTATGTCACCGTCCTGCCAGGATGCCCAAGGCACCGGGGCCCGGCATGTCACTCCCACCCTGGTGTTCACCTGCCCCCTGCAGCCAGACTGGGTCTGGACCAGCGACAGGGCGCAATGACAGAACTGAAGAGCTTTGGCAGAGATGAGAGCGTTGTGCCTGTGACTAATGAGCGCAGGGCAGTCCGGCTGCCACCCCGGCCCAGGTGCTGTGGGGTCACTGGAGCCCCCCGCGCCCCTGTGGCACTGTGCAGGCAGTGTGAGCCAGACGTGCTCACCGCCCTCTGCTAGCTGGCCTGTTTTTAGCATTTCTCGGATCACATTCCTAAAATAGGAAGTGGAGAGCTTTACGTTCTTAAATGTTTGGTGAGTGCGAGATTCACGGCTGCTGTGGAGCCCTGCAGTTGCAGGAGAGGAGCTGCTCTTGCAGGCCGGCGTCAGTAGCATGTGCCCATCGGGTAGCTCACACCTACACGCTCTCTAATTAGAGCTCCACTCCCACATGAGCCACCAGTCCCAGCCCTCCCATAATTAACTGATTTAATTATTTTAATGAAGTGGGAAATATTTTAAGGCTGGTTTTCAGGTCAGAAAAGGAGGTTTCTGTAGGTGGCTGTTCCTCGAATCGAGGGCGTCTTTGAGACCATCGGCTTCAAAAGAAACTGTTTCCAGAGAGCGGGAGTCCTGGGAACTTTTGCTGCAAGGAGCCCCTGCTTCTGTCAGGGTGCTGCTTCATCAGAGCATGTAGGCAGTTCGCAAGGACTTCATCAGAAAAAAAACAGTGAACTGGTGCGCAGGGAGATCCATGAATGAACAGGGCTGTGTTTGATGGGATTTGCATGGGCAGTCTAGATAAGTCCTCTTCGCTCCTCTCCCCGTCAGGCAGCTCTTCCACAACAGCAACTTCAGCAGCAGCAACGGCAGCACGGAGGACCTGTTCCGTGACAGCATCGACTCCTGCGACAATGACATCACCGAGAAGGTGAGGGGCGAGGGGCTCGCGGGGGTCCCGCTGATGGAACACACACACAGAGAAAACGTTCCCAGCAAGAGCCCCAGCAAAGCATATCAGCAGCATGACAAACCAGTGAAAGATACGGATGGAATTCACAACCATGCAAAGTGACCATGATATTCATTTCAAAGGGCCTTTGGTAACTGAAACATCCAGGAGTGCACTGGGGTTCTGGGGGAGCTGACGCACCCCGGTGTGTCACAGTGTCTGCTGCAGCTGAGCCCTCTCTCCCTCCTCGCCTCCTGCAGGTCAGCCACCTGGAGAAGAAGGTGACGGAGCTGGAGAACGACAGCCTGGTGAGCGGAGACCTCAAGTCCAAGCTGAAGCAGGAGAACACGCAGCTGGTGCACAGGTAGCGCAGCCCACCGCCGGGAGCACACAGGACTCTATCTAAAGTGGCTACTGTGGAATAGAGAAGTGTGACGTTATATCGTGATTTTGCCGTGGTGGGTGCGGTTTTTGATTTCCTCTGTGCACGCTTTCCTGGGGCGTTGGGTCTAACCCTTGTGTGCCCGCAGGGTCCACGAGCTGGAGGAGCAGATCAAGGACCAGGAGGCGCGGGCTGAGCAGACGCTGGAGGAGGAGCTGAAGAGGCACCGCGAGGCCTACAGCAAGATGGAGCGAGAGAAGAGCACCGAGATTGAGCTGCTGAGCAGCAGGTAATGGGCACGGCCTGGCCTGATAGACCACAGCACAGCACAGCACGGCCTGATAGACCACAGCACAGCACAGCGCAGCACGGCCTGGCCTGATAGACCAC